GGGGACTCTAAGCCACTAAATGGTTGTAATACAGTGTGACAGCTTCACAGTGTCATAATCCAGCCCCACACCAATGTGAGCAGCATGGCAATAGATATATACCATTCACACTATGGGGGGAATCCAGAAACATATATACATACATACGTACACCTACACACACACACACACACACATATTTTCTCCCTTTTCCATCCCAGTTTGGAAGCTCCAAATGCATGCAAGACTTGTCCCACTGCAACACCTCAAGGACTACAACACCTCAAGGACTACAACACCTCAAGGGCTGTGTATATACAGCTACACTCACAAGTTGGGTCACACTCATTGACATGGCACCCATCCCCAGCAAAGAGGGCTTAGAACAGAAGGGAAAACCACAAACTTTGCTCAGTGAATGGATATGTTTTTCTCTTTGTGTTTAAGAGACGTTACCTACGCTTTCCAAAGAGTCTGCCTCTTTCTTTCTTTCCCCGTGCATTAAAAAGATAGGCTCCCTATGTTTCTCCTTCCCTTTATGCGTTTTACTGTAATGAATGCAGAGTGAATGAACCCTATCATTTGCAGGAGGAGGAGAAGCCAAACAGTGTTTCTTTTTTTGTCGGAGAGAAAGAGAGAGAGACAGAGAGCACCTCTCGTCTCAAAACCCATCATTTTGAGAAAGACGAACAGCAAAACACCCTGTCGCTCTTTTGCGGACCACTTCCCCACTGGCCGTATCCTTTTAATATCATAGGGTCGCCGTTGTGTGTGTTCGAAATGACCTTCAAGAAAATAAATATCTCTTGGTGCGTCAAAAATGCTGAGCGCCCCTCTTTCTCCACAAATGGCAATTTCCAGAAAAGCTTTGACAAGTCCACCAAGGAGAAGACTCGAATTTATACTCAGAGGTCATCCAGGGAAATGGTCTTCACTTATCTATATATACAAGTGGCAATTTATATCCAGGGTTATTCACCTTGAAACAAAACCAGATGGAAATTCAGCTGTACTCCATGAAAAACCTTTTCCAGACATCACTGGGAGTGCTTATGAGAGCACCAATTGGGTGGGAACTGAAAATGATTTTTCAAGTCAGTTTTCGAAACACATCATCTTTGGAAGGAAAAAAAATCCTTGCATTGTCATGTTATATTTTCTGACCTCTGTTCAATCGAAGGGATTGTATAAATGTACTTTGTCCTTCATCGAAAGTTTTTTTAAATGATTATTTCTCGAAAAAACATAGCTAAATTTCTGTAACTGTCAGGACTACCAAACGGTGAGAGTAACACTTGCATAAGGGTCTTACACCAAGGTTAAGGACATCTTTTGTGGCACATTTGACGTTCCGCCCTTCCGCAGTTCTAGTATTATACAAGAGATGTATTAATTTGCACCCAAATGTACTGTATCTTATTCCAGACTTTTTCAATGTATAACATTTCTCTTGTGAACAGCTGTCAAAATTGCTCACTTTCCCAGAGATGGGATGTGAAGCAAGCCAAGGGCACTGATCCAGCAAGGGAGTGTGAAAGAAATGAAAATTCTCAACTATTATAAGTTGAAAAACATGTTACTCCACCAAGGCTCTGATCATAAGTGAAAAACCAGATCCCACTGCTATCGATTTTCATGTCCCAGCTTGCATCTTGAAGGTTGTATGTTTTGGGCCCAAGTTGGCCGTTGTAATCTTTATCAAGGCAAGGAAAGATTTGATTGACATCCAGCCATTTGACTGTTTAAAATGTATCTGTGTAAATCTACCTGGATAAAGTTGCATATTCAGCTGACTAATGATAAAAATCAACTGTCACACTTGCGTTGCAAGATGATCATTGATTAAATTCTCCCTGGAAATTACATCACTTAGAATGAGAGCAGCTTCTACAGTAGTTATAAAGAATTTGTTTGGCAAAAGACATCAAGCGAAAATCAAAGAAGCAGAATCCCACTCTGTATGTCCATTAGTCATTTTACGCATGCTGATTTATCGAGAACATACTGTAGCAAATGACAGCCGCTGATGAGAGAGGGGTGTTGTGGGAAATTGGTTTATCGGATGTTGCGAAATATTTTTATAAGGTTCTGTGTTAATAATGTTCATTTATTGCTGTTAAGTTCTAAGTTCTGGCTTTTATATCTTAGAGAATGAATGGCAGTGTGAGTGAGTTAGTTGAGTTATTTAACCGTGATTGTACTGAGTGTGAGTGGGGTTAGGCGCGTTAGGGAAGGAGAGTGTGTTGTCCCTGACATATTCTTGTATACAGTAGGTCAATAAAGTGGTCTAAACGAGCTTTCCATTGCATTTATTGAACCCTATCCTGTTACAATACCACATTCTGCTTTACCTTACAGCTCTGAATAAAATCAACAAGGGTATTACACAGAAATAGGCATCCATTTCCTAAAAAATTAAACAGTCAAGTCCCATTATTCACTGATATTTATAGTTCCACTACTGGAACATCTCTGAAGTGGTGTATACTATATCCCCTCATCCTTGACCTTTCACAATGCAGAATATATGGTTTCCTACTCTGTTGTTCAGTAAATGGAAATCTCTCCAGTTTCTGTCATTATTCACATTCAAATTGTTTTGTCACAAACAGTCATTTCATCACACATGCACAAATACCAGTATGGTGGGATAACAGTGGCATTCAGAGCAAGTGCATTTCACTTGTACCATTACCTGTAATGGATGATGCTGAAATGTATACGGTTTCATTAAGAAGCCAAGTCTACCTGAGATGCCGTTTGGGGGAAAACAGGGAATAATATATTTTTAATAAGGTGAAAGGTTAATGAAATTACAGAAGCAAGTCTTATTTAAACATCCGTCCTATAATGTAACTGGACAAATTTTCCACAAATACAACATAAAAGACATTTGCCTTCATTTGAAGGTTATTATGCCTCTTTAAATGGTCATAACTGTAATATTTCAAGCCAAACATCATCAAAAACAAGAGCAGGTCCAAGTTTTCACTTATAAACCAATGCATTTTCATTTAATTAATGTGACTGTGGACAAGGCTGAATAAATGCATTGCAAAATGATAGGCATAAAATTAGAACAATGGCAGCATTCATTCATTGAGTTTTCACAAGGCCAAACAACACAAACTTGAAGTGGAGTTACAGCTGCACATCTCTATCACACAATTTGGGGTTCTTTGAGCTGTTACGATTTGTTGAGAGATACGAGGCTGCGGTTTCTAAACAGTTGTGCAATTTAAAGCAGCTGGAATGACAAACTATATGGTAAAGGGGTTTTTGCATTTTTGTCAGGTTCAGCAGCCTCATGCAGTTATGACACTGAGTTCAAATAATGTTGTAGCAGTGGAGCGGACCTTTCTGTTAAATTTGACCTTTTTCCCAGCAGGCATTGAGTGTGTGGCAAAGTCTAAATTGTATTGTTAATTAATGTATTGTTAATTAATATTTTGACATCTTGGTCTAAGTCTTTGTTCTGTGTTCATGTGTAAAAAAGTGTAAGTAATTCAGCAGGTTGGTCCACGTGAAATGTTGTCTTTTTGATGGGGTACTCACCACACTATTTTAGGTAGGTTTTGCTTCCATTGGCTGTTGGTTATGTGGCTTGGTGTCTGACTCGTACATTAGCATAATTAAGAGGAATAAAACATTTCAAACATTTAATTTTAAGATTCTGTTTAATAATTTGAAAAAAATCAATGTAATTACAGAATAAATCTCTTAATTCCATATGAATTTCCAACTCAATTAACCATCTTATAATGGTATTTACATTCGCAAGTTTTGTGAAGCTTACATTCTTATTAAAAACGTGGACGCTAACCCATAGATAGATCTTTATGTAAACTAGATTTGAATTTGACATAAAAGTTAGTCTCTGTGAAATAATGGTCTCTGTCAGTAAATTAACAGAATATTATTCATTAAGATGGCAATTAATTTTCAATTAATGGAAAAGACTGTAATTTACAGTCACAGAAATATACTGCAGTCATGTTCCCCCCCTCCCAATGCCCCCAGAATTTTCAAAATTCAGTGTCAAACAGGTTTTAGCTCAGTGCTTTGCTTTCACGCCTGAGAAATATGTGTCACTTTTGAATAAACCGACAAATAGCCAATGGTGCCGTTTGTTGTTTGTTCCAAAGAGCTGCCCTCGCTTCCAGCCCTTGCTAAGTGGTCTGTCTGAGAAACCTCTTGCTCATTTGAAATGCAGTAATTATACAGCAAATAAATCCGGCTGAAAGACGCCTTTTATCTCTGAGCGTGTGCCATCATTTGGCGATTTGGACTTGTGTTTTCTGGCCAGCTTCATTAAAATGATCCCCTCGCGTCGGGGATGCGAATCTTGGACATCTATTGAATCATGTCATTGTGCCTTTGTGGCTGTGTTCATAATTCAAAAACCTCTCTTTCTCCACTGATCTGAATACAGCTCGTCAGCAGTTCTGTCAGCACCATGCTAATAAGTTCTATATCACTGGAATGCTAAAGTGCTTACTGGAAGTAAAATTCTCAGGAGAGGCAAACTATACTGCGATGTCTGGTTATATGTCATGTACATATTGTGCATGGATATTATAAATAAAAAGAGAAGTGGCTGCACATATAGAAAAGAAATCAGATTTTAGCAGAACATCCATCACAATACATTCATGTTTTGGATCAAGCACGCCAATGAATATGAATATATACATATTTTTAAATACTTTATATTTGTACACATATGTGTGTATATATAATATTACTCAAATGTACTTACAGGTATTCTCTGTGACTCAGTACTAATACTTTCAAAAATAGGTTATGAGGAAGCATTTTGGAAACACTGGACAAATTTGCTTTCAAACAGTGCTTCTGAAGTTTGTGTGAGGTAATATCACCCATTACATTATTGGCACTTAGCAGACACTCTTATCCAGAGCAACTTACATCAGGTACAGTTTCTTTACAATATTATCCATTTATACAGGTGGATATTTACTGAGGCAATTGTGGGTTAAGCACCTTGCCCAAGGGTACAGCAGCACCCTGGCTGGAATTGAACCAGCAACCCTGCAGTTACAAGTCTGACTCCTTAACCACTATGCTACACTGCCCCAGCTTGTTTAGTGTAACTGCATGTTAGTAGATTCATGTAGCTTGTATGTAGCTTCATGTTAATACTTTAATGGCAGACTCATTTTGTAAGTATTAGAACAGACCCGTACAGACTAAGCACTTACTGTGAGCATTTAGTACATGTGAAGTAACTTCCCATTTTTGTGCAGTGATGGCATTTTTATGGAGGTAAAATGTTACTGTCAATGGAACCCAACGCAGTTATTAGTATGGTTTATCAATCAATACGCAGCCATGCAAAAAGGCTCTTCTGGTTGAACTGCAGTCCTGGCCGTCCTGCTGCGTTCTCAAAACCAAGTGGCAAGTGATGCTTATGCCACTGTGTGGATCGTGCCAGCAGCTGAGAATGCATGAGTCCCTGGCACGAGATTTCATTGAAATGCGCTTTGGAAACAAACTGACCCAAGTTCTAGATCACAGCAACATCATTCATTTTGATTGAGTAAGAGACACGTGAGGCTCCTGGAGACCTGCTGATGGATTAAGCAGCATGAGTGTGCCCTTCAGGAATACATAAACAGCTGGCTTTAATCGCCCTCGAGTGCACCTCTATTTACTAGTGGAGGGAGAGTGGGTCACTCTGCAGACTGTACATGTTAAAAAGGCAGTTCACCTTGCCCACGCTTGCCTGCAAATCTGAAGTGAACATGCTCAGGAAAATGTATGGAGGAAAGATGAAATTTCTTCATTGAAAATTCAAGGGAAGTTAATGTGTTCAGGTACACACACATACCAAATGTATCTGTAGACTTTTATTACTGTCAGAGCTGTTAATGTCACCACTCAATCTTTTTTTTTTTTCCTCAGAAAAGAAGTGTTAATGTTTGGAAGACAATTCTAGAATGTAGATGTTGATCACTGATGATTTTGAAGGTTTTAAGTTAATTGTTTGCTATATATTGATATTTCTAATATGTTACTTGTTTCTGTCCTGAATGTGAGACAAAAGGAAAGTTCCATTTTTTGCACTATCTAATGGGCAATAAAGACTTGTGAGATTGAAATAGCCATAATGCCTTTTGTTCTTAATACATTTATACCCATGTTACTTTTTTCCATTTCTAACACTCTATAATGACTACCTGAAAATCACTTTAAATGTTCCTCACTTTAAATTGTTCCTTTTAACTGGTCTCTAAAGTTCTGTGACTTCAGACTGCAAAGTTGCAATCTTGTTTTTTAAAGCAAAGTACAAAGCCTAGTGCTGCTTGAATGAACAGAGGCTATTGTCACTGGTGCATTAGAGACACGGCCACGCTGTTCCACTGGTAGATCTACTTCAGTTGATTTTGTTCTTAACTTTGACTTCAAAGAGTGTTATTCCCAATACAAATCCATTTTTTTTTCCATTTTGGTGACTGCTAAACTTGCCACTGAATATATTTTAGATAAACAAAACATCTATATTTAATTTATAGTCAAATTTAATGGCAAATTTTGATTGAGTCCAAGGGTTATTGTTCAACCCCCAGGTCATATTTTGGCTCACGGGTCATCTGTCACAGTATATAGCTGGGAGCTGAATAATGCCCAAGGCACAGAAAACCTACTGACATGGAGATCAGACTCTGGTTGTTCCTGGGGTACTGTGAGGACTAACAGGGTCCAGGCTAATATGTGGAATATGCCACTCATATCCTCTCTCTAGAATTTCCCAACTCACTGAACTATTTGAGAAAGTCTCTCCGAGCTGAAATATTCCATTTTGCCTGCCCCCGCGAACGCTCGGCTCCGAGGGCCAAAGAGGCACCCCTGCAAATGAAATATTCCGAGTGCGGCACGAGTGGCCTCGGAAACACACCAAAAGAACTGTTTTCAATTTTTCAGCACACTTTAAAATTCAGCCAAGAACAAAAGGCGAGCGGTCCCCGTGATTGCAGCCTGGCTCGGCCCATTACAATGATTCCTTTATTAGCACTTGGAGGGGGGAATGAATATTGATTCGGAGGCACTGGGCCTGCCTTTTGTCTCCTGCTCCCACTCCAAAAGATGGAATTATTAAGTGCTGCCAATCAACGCTCCATTGTCCTTCTACCGCCGAGAGTGGAATCAGACTGCCGCTGTTGTGTCATCGGCGTAAATAATAATCTTCAGAGCTCACCGGCCCTGATTGCCACAGCAATGGCATGGCCTTAACAGAGTCTGTCTTGGACCATGGACAATGTAATTGGTCACATTTTTTCTTTTTTTTTTTCCATTTCTCTCTCTGTCTTTGTCGAAACATGGCTCCATTGATCCAGTCTGGCATTAGTCAGACAGATCCACTCCATTAGGTTGCATCCATATGGTCACCATCATTTGCTGGGTAGAGACGCTTTGGAAATTTCCAGTATCTCTCTGTTTAGACTATCTGTGAATAGGGTTTTATTAAATGGTTTTTAAAAGAGGCATTTGCCTGTCCTTTCAGTGCTATGATGGCCAGTATAGGGGCAGGTTAACCTGAACTTTTCAAAAACAGGACATTAATATCATATTAATGTAAAATGCCAACAAGACATAAACTCTTGCCTGAACAATTACATCAATAACAATACCATTATCATATTAAAATAGCTCTGAAATAGTTGTTTCAGAGAACAGGTCAGATGAGCAGAACAGTGGTTATGCTTATAAAAAGCAAAACTATCCAGTTGCAAATTATGGCTTTTCCATCACATTCCTGGCAGCTGTGCCTATATGTGGTATTTGTGTGGTATTTTTTTTAAATGTTGGATATGCAGAATTGGTATTGTGAGTTGAGGGGAGTAGACTAGCTTCTTCCATGTATGTAGCAATGATGCTTATGCAAGGTAGCTGCGATGTTGTTTAATTGGACGTATAGCCTACTCTGTATAAGTGTGTGTATGCTAAGCAAATGTAATGCGCTTCAGATACACAGTGTAACTAAGAACTGCTACTCAGCTGTTGTATCAGCTAATGGTCCTGTGCACCTTTGTCTTGTTAAGCTGGGTCCACAAAATGTCAACCCCACCCTGACCTTTGAATGGTCTTTTTCTAATTTTAACCTTTGAAAAGTTAATTAACTTTTCACACACTTGATGAGGGCTCTCATCCATTAAATTGTTTTTGTGAGAAAATGCATCTTAACTCCTTTCTGTAAAATTATTTGCATTTAGAAGCAATTTACAGAAGCGGCTTTAAGAAATGAAACATTTTCATGACTAAATGCATTTTTTTTTCTATCTTGAAACAATGGGCAAATATTTGTTTCAAGATGACAGAAAACATAAACAAACAAAACATTATTGTGTAATAGTGAAACAGGGTCATTTAAAGTTTAATTTATATGATGACTGACTTTTGCTGTATATTTTATCAATTGTGTAAAAGAGTACCTCATTATTCTACTTTTAGTTATGTCTGTTGTTGCACCATTCTGATAATAACTTTTTCCTGGCATACATAAGAACCAAACAGGTTTGTCTAAACTGGCATATCTTCAATTTTTACTCTGAATATTTGTGACTTAGAGTGTAAAGTGTAACATACACAAGCATATCTCAGCATCTGTGTAGAATATTTGTAACATTAAAGTGTTTCTGTAAGCAGGTCATGTTGTTTTGGGATAAACTGAAAAGAATGCACCAAACTATGATGGTGATTGTGATGTCCCAGGTGATTATAATAAGTGTTGGTAAAATCTACTCATATTATTGTAGGAGGAAGCTTATTTGGCCCAGGGTTTGACAATCTACTAATTACTATAGGAAAGGTCTGAGGCAAGAGACAACTGCAACTCTAACAAGGTATCACCCAACACAGGGGAAGAAGTACAGAGGGAACTCGGGTGAGCAAAACAGGGTGAAACATTTAGCACTAATAAACGGATGATGTGATCTCAGCTGATATTGCTTGTGGCTCACGGATGAGTACAGCACCATTAGTAAGAGTTTTTTCTCCTGAAACCACAAGACAAAATGCTGGTCATCGAAATTTTATGTTACTTCTTAAAAATACAGCCCAGATTCTGTCTAACTGCAAGGTTCTTTATCTTTCACTTTGGAAAAATTATCAGTTTCTTCTGTTCGTGATACATTTTTGGTCATTTTAGCAATCACCAAACTCATTCTACGGTTTAAGAAATGGAGAGGGAATGTCTTCTAAATTTCATAGACTCAGTTTAATACACTAAAAAAGATGGGTGCATCTGCAATGGGTCTGAGTGGATGTACAGACAAATGACAAGTGATATTCTGGGAAAAACAAGGCAAGTTGAACATGGCATCTTATTACACACGTTTCAGAATCACTGACACATTTTGAAAATATGAGCAGACAACAGCACTGCTGCTATGAACAATATCAAATGGCCTATTTGTCACGTTCTTCTCAAATCCCCACTTTGACCCCTGTCACTGTCCCATTTCTGACCCCTGCTAGTGCCTCTGGAACATTCATTTACAGGATGACAGCCTGGTGCACCAATGCTTTCTGTCCATATCAATAATGAAGTGGCTCTGTCCAATGTCACTTTGCTTTCTGAGGCTCATTGGGAACAGTCACCTGTTCCTCATTAAGGGAGACCTGTCAGATGGACATCAGTGGCAGTGGCTGAGTTTATTGGCTTTTCCGGACACTTTTAGGTTCCAGGGGCCTTGCATGGAAATTCGGCTCAAATTAAAGGGACAATGTGTTTGGCTGCCACAAATGAGGCATCTGTGCTCCACGCTGCCACGTGTCCCAGACCAGCTTGCTGCGGTGACATGGAACACAACTTATGGTCAGAAACAAAAATACTTTATGAAACACAGGCCATGTTGTAAGTTTAGGTAAGTGGTCAAATTATGTTCATTCATATCACATAGTCAGCACTTAAGACAAAGTGTCATATGACCATTGACAAGGAGAACATTTATTTTGTGTGTTGTTATGCAAGCACATTGTCCTTTGTTAATCTACTTTCATGTTATAATTACTGCTTATAAATTCCTCTTATACTTGCTAGTTCAGTGTGAGACGCGAGAAAAAATCAGCTTGG